TCTTTCAACTCCCATTCCTTGTATCCCAAATATCTTTGGTATTCAAACGGCAACTTTTCAGAGTACCAGCGAGATATAATAGTCCAAACAGGGCTTTTATTTCAATCAAATCAGTTGGTCTGGCAGATCTTTCCCTCGCATAATTATCTGCCACACTGTATATATATAGATTGGTATTTGCAACAATTATCTGTAAAATTTCATCAGAAAAAAATAATGACCAGCATTCCAGTTCTGACCTAGCATTCTTTGCATAATTTTTCACTCCAGGAAGGCGAACAATAATATTTTCTTGTCTTGTCCTAGACGTTTTTTTTTATACAATGTTTCCTCCATTTTGTCTTATTATCTTTTCCTATAAAATATGGATATCTTGGAATTTTTTCTGGAGGAGGTACTTCCTCTGCTTCAACTATATCTTCACACTCTTGTTCCGATTCACTTTCTGTACTTCTTGTTTCTATAGTATCAATTTCTAAAGCTGATTTAGCTTCCTCATCATCAGGTACCTCTGTAATCTCATCAACTTCTTCCCACATTTGACGTAATCTCTCCTGCTCCTTTTCATAATCCATTCCTGGAAACAATCATACCATTGATAAGAAAACCATTCACTAAAAATCTCGATAACTTACCGAATGAATAAAAAACACAATATTAACACCTTCACAACCAAGCAACACCAGAGGTGGCGCCAGGTCTCTCAGACTTCAGACTTGGCGCCACCTCCGTAGGGTTAACGATACTCGATTCTGAGGCCAGGGTTGATGTTTGAATTACGAAACAAAAACAAAGTTGATCATGGTTTTTTTATGGACAAGTACTACAGGAAAACACTAGAGGCACTCTATCTGTATCTATATCTGTAGAGTAGGGAAGTGAGTGTAGACCCACAGCACTTAGGCCACATGTGACCCATTGTACATCCTCCAGAGGAGTTATCCGCCTAGGTTATCGTCCATCCTGTCCGTTCCAGGAAGGTGGACAGGTCTCTGGGAGACATCTCCTTTATATCGACAGGTGTAGGCCAAGACCCGCCGAACACATACTCTCTTATTTAACGATAACTCAACTCGCATAGGACATGCCTGACAGTCTCATCTTCCTGTTCACACCTCCTGCATTGAGGTGTGTCCACTAGCTCCATATTATGGAGGTGTTTCCTCAGTCGACAGTGGCCAGTCAGAAATCCTAGTGTTAGCGTAGATTTTTCCTGGTCATCGCCAGATATTTCTTCTTCGCCAGCTTCCCAGGGTCGCCCAGGGTGTTCCTGGCAAGATTGCATCCTTTGATTCCATCCCATCTCTTTAGGGATTGAGCATGGGTGTAACATTTGGCTAGTTCCGCAATTGTCGAAGTCATCAGGTCGTAGGTACCATTGGGTCCTAAAATTCTTAGTCCAACCGCTTCCTTGGCTAAAGACTCGGCAATGCGATTTTTACTCCTGTTGTGCCTTTTAACCCACCTCAGGATAATGTTATTATCTATCGAGGCTTTGGCTAAATCTTGGTAACACTCTAGTACTAGCCCTGACGTTACACGTTGGCTATTCAAGGCTAATAGAGCTTGTCTGCTGTCAGTGCAGATTGTAAATTTCTTTCCTGGTTCTTTCTTTTGTGGCGATTAAGATACCTGCCAGTTCTGTTTGGACCACGCTGGTATTTTTTCCCCATTTAATCCTTAGGCTTAGTAATCTGGAGTACACTCCACATCCTGCGCCTTCTTTGGTTTTTGAGCCGTCTGTATATATACGTATTGCATTTGTAGCATCTGACTTTTTACCACAGGCACTCTAAGAGCGGTGCCTCTGTATCTATAGGAGAGAGACAAATCTCCAACCTTTCTTCGATGTTCCAGACTATCAAGATTGCAAGTGATGTTCGGGTCTCCAATTAGGCAGATGGCTCTTTTCTGAATGGAATCCAGAATCTTCAGGGTATGTTTGGGGGCGGATCTCCATACATTGAAACAATACTCCAAAGAAGAGATGTCTGAGCTTCATAAAGCATCAGAAGTTGCTGGGGTTTGTACAGTTTTCTGGTTCGGAACAGTGTTCCAAGCTTTTGAGAAGCAGTCTTTGTAATTCCAGCGACATGATTATGCCAGGACATATTGGTGTCCATTTTAACCCCCAACAAACTTTTCGAAGCAGAAATCGGAATTGTCCTGTCCTGACATTATTACATCCGGTTCGGAAACATTCATCTTTTTGGAGAAAATCGATGCCTGGATTTTCGTTGCATTGAATTGAACCTGGTTAATTCATCCCAATTCGAAATCAGCTCTAGATCCAATATATTGGCTTCTTGGTTTTCCCAGTGAGTCGGTGATATACAAAAAAAGAGGGTTGGAGACAATATGGATCCCTGGGGAACACCAGCGTTGATGGTAAAAGTATTCTAGAGCTATTCGTCGACGGCCACTTACAGGGAACATTCTTTCAGGAAGCTGAAGAGCCATACACAAAAATGATTCGACAAACATAGCATCAAAGTTTGGCCAGCATACCCTTGCAAGAGTTTATAACAAAATTCAATTTTTTTTTCGAAATCATCTTTCAATTCATGAATCATTTTCATTTTGTAAGGTTGGAATTTCTGGAATTTTAAAAACGTTTATAGTCATTCCTGATGCTTGGGACAACTTAGTCAAATACTTCAATTTCATTATTAAAAGCTTTTCATCGAGTTATTCTTACAAAGGTTCAAAATTGTGTCAGAAAATGAAGATAAAGTTCAATTGTTTGAAGACGCTTCGGTTGTTTGATTCCATCCGTCCCTGAATGGCGCCTCAGGGATTCACATCGTTCGTCATTTGGAAAAAATTCCGTCCTACATCGATAAACATGGCCTTGAACGGTCGTACTTTCGACTAATAGAAACGCCTTTTTACGTAAGAAATAAAAAAAGTTGCAGAATAGTCGGCGATAAGTTTTCTTTCATGCTTTTACGAACTAACAGCTAACCGACAACAAACACCTCGGCCAGAGAACAACCGCGAGATGCATACCGTGTTGCCAGATCTAGAATGTCAGAAGCAGTAGACAGGTATTTTTGTTTTTTCGATAAGATAATACAAAATTTATGGTCATTTGTCATCTGAGAAACATCTGTTAAACCCGTTTTGACCAGTATTTATTAATATATAATAACAACAATAAACTGTTTAAACTAATTTTCAACAAAGAAAAGTAAAGCGAGAAATAAGGACTTTCTCTTTTTGTATGAGTATATTGTTAAACAGAATTAGAAACTATAAAATACTGTTTATGTATTATAAGTCAATAATTTGCATTCAATTTTCAAGTTGAGGCATTTATTAATCAATACACTTGAGATAATGAAAGATTATACAAGTGTCATCAACAAAATAAGCTACAAACACAATTGCACTGAAAAACATAGACAAAACAGTATTTATTACAACACAAACAGTTGTTTTCACAACTGATGAATTGGATATTCCATACTCCACAATACATAACTTTCTCATGCTGAATATAAAGTTTTATCTTAAATTGGGCATGGATCTGTCAATGTTCCGTGTTCTAGAATATTTAAAATACCAGATATTGAAGTTTGACAAAAGAATTTGAAATATAAAGTAGTTACAGAATAATTAATGAAGATCTGACAATTTTTATGAAATTCACTTGATAACTTCTTAATGAATTTCAAAAATTAAAACAATATGTTTTGGTGTGTAGTAAACCTGCAATACTAAATCTGTTTTCTGTCTGTTTTAAATCCGTTTTTCCGTTAATCAGCTGTCGCCCCCATACGAACGACAACTCTCAGAAGTTGAGAAACTTGTGTCAGCTAAGTACTAACGAGGTCTTACCTTTTAACGTGTGAATCCTAACACGGATTCCTAGATATTGATTAATATGTTGAAGAATATGAAGTCAAGATAAGTCAAGTCAAAAATGTTTTAAGCTTTACGATAAACATTTTTGACTTGACGTCGTTTTATTCTTCAAAACGGTAGATGAGAAGGCTTAAAATGGTAGATCTACCGTAAAAGCGGCAGCTCTGGCAGCACCGGATACAAGGCACGTTCTCGCGTTAGTTGAGAATAACGCCGCGGCTTCGGGGGGGCGCCAGTAGACGGCGATCGTGTCGCGATCGCGTCTATTTTTAGATCGGCGGACTAACGTTACCGGTAAGTTTGATTCGCCAGAAACGCAGATTGCATTGCAATTTGCGAATTTATAATAATACAGGTATGGCATTTCGCATACAGTATCGGATGTCAGACCCAGACGAGTCGATTTCTGGCGGATGTTGTTGGTAGGTATTTTTAGACGAGGCATTTTGTGTAGGCTTTGGATTTGGACTTTATCCACGAATGGAAATGTATACAAGGGGTGTCGAAAATATGAGGAATTTTCAAATATTTTGAAATTTTCGCGGTACATTATTTCAGTCAGTATCAGGTATTTTATGATTGGCAACACTGATATTCAACACAATATTAAGAAGACATGTACATATTTAGTAGGATTGTCAATTGAAACCCCGTTTAATAAAATGATTTTGTCAAATAGCAACTGTATCTATAGTGCACGTGAAGTTGATTTTGTTAATCACTATACCTTGTGTTGTTACTACAATTCAGTAGGCAACAATGCTTACTACCAATGTTGTTTTTATTTGAAATACTTATTGCCAATATGTCTTCTCTCTCCAGGAAGATGTGGAGAGAAGGTAGTTCTAGAAGGATTTTCATGACCATCGATGGTGTGGTGCCGATGTCATTAGAGATAGCCAAACGAGGCTGTTTTTGCTTCGCCTGCGCCGTTTACTGTAAAGCTTTCGGTCACGAAGTGATTGCTCCGTAGTATTTAAATATAACTGTTACTGTTTCGGTTGAGTTCTTTTCCTTTTGTCCGTATTGTACCTCTCTGAGAGGCCAGTGAAAACAATTAACACCATCATACTGTATATGAAAAATGTTTCTCGTTTTGGTCAACACATCCTTATCCATTGATTTTGTTGCAGGCGGCGATTCTCCAGCAAACCGCAGAATACATCTATGTTCTGGAGCAAGAGAAGACGAGGCTCTTGGCGCAGAATTGCCAGCTCAAGCGGCTCATCAACCAGCACGAAGGAGGCGAACTACCTCCTAAGAAGAGAAAGACTGATTTGGTTATACCATCGTTGACGGTTGATTCGGCCGATGAAGGTAAGCGATTTCAGTGAACGAACCAAATACCGGAAGTGGACTAACGTATTTTGAGAAAAACATTCTAAGCAGTTGTGATGAATAAACTCGATGATTACCATCATTATTAAAATCGTTCCTTTCCAGGTTTGGGCTCGATGTCGCCCGAACTGATTGCCGCCGTTACCACCCCTGCCGACTGCTCGACAGACATGAAGATGCAACTCGAGAGGGAGCGAGGAATGAGGTTGATCCTGGAGGATCAGGTCCGACAGTTGGAAGCGCAGCTCTTCCAGCAGCAACAGCAACAGCAGACGGCGCAGATATTCGAGATGGAAGAGACGGAAGCGATCGGTCTGCAACTGGTGGCGGCCGACAGTCTGCCCCCCGTCGGACACACGCAGACGGTGGTGTGTTCGCCGATGAATTCGAGGAGCCCGAGTCCGGTGGCGATCGTTCCCGAGCAGCGGATACCGTCTGTGCTGGAGGCGGCCATCAATGCTGAACCTAAGGTGAGACCAGGATATTTTTTTACTACTTGGGAGTCGTCTGACTTGTGCATTCCTCCCAAATAATAGTAATCGCAATAACATTTATATCATCTTAAATGTTATGCCTTTGAAAGGATCCCTATTAGTCCTTAATTAGTACTGGAAGAGTAAACTTTTGCTATCGGTATGGAATTCGGGTTAGACAAATGTGCAACGGGCTATCTCAAAAAAGAACGATGCAAGGACGGAATCATACTACAACATGTAGATGTCGGATAGACACTTAATTTGGGTTGGAACAGTTCCACAGTATAAACTTAAATAGATCTGGTAGTTGAACTGCCGGAGAAAAAAAAGTACTGCTACCAATTATCTTGCCATTCCGATTACATTATACTCTTTCGTAGTTGTCAAGTCGAAAAATGATGCATTTCTATGAGCCGTGTACTTTTGAGTTGGGCCTGTCTACATTACAGAGTGGTTTAGGCTGGAACTTGTGAAGTAACACAGGATTCGGATTATCTTCTCTGCATGGTCTGTGATCAAGAGAATTTCTCTGCAGCTACCCGAGCTGCGATGAACTTGACTTGGTTTTCGACACTGAACAAGATGATCAGAACTCTGTCACCCAGATGGAACTCTCAACAATTTACTCCTGCGACTATATGCACGGGATATTTTTCAAAAACACTGAAAACTTTCAAGAACTTTTGCTTTGCTCAGATCAAGTAGGTGACACCGAGGAATCATGGGCTACCAGGATGGTGGCTGCAGCTTATACCCATCAACACAACACGGCATTAAGAGTGCTATATTGCCATCCCCGGCACCAAAGTAAGATGATATTTATTGTAGGGTTTTCTGTTCAGGTTGGAGAAAGAGGAAATATCGATATTTACTCTTTGAACTCTAGACTTTACCCAGACCACTCAGTTAAAATGGTTAATGGTGCCGGCATGTCCCCCGAATGGGTCGGAGCTTCGGGTACAGAGCCTGACCAGCTACTTCTTTTTAGATTAAAAAAATAATATTTGGTGTCCAACAGCAAACCAGACAAAATTTATCTTCTAGTGTTTAGATTTCTGTGGATTCAATCTATCCTTTTCTATTCCAGGTGGAAGTAGAGAGGCTACCCTCTCCGAACACATCGCCGCACAACGACGACCCGAACCGCATGTACAAACCGAACACGTCGCGGCAGAACCTGGAGACCATCGTCGAGGCGATTCGACACCTCGAGGGCGACCACATGTTCGACGAACCCCAAATCCAGGAAGTTCCGCTCGCGCTGACGACGACGCAGCGGACGCCCGAACATGTTCTGAAGGCCGATATGCAGGCCTACCTGGAGTTCAACTCCTCGACGACTACGGCGGTGGCGAGCATCGTCCAGCAGCACCAGCACTCGCGGCCGGGGGTGATCGTCGTGAAACAGGCATCGTGATCGAAAATTATCCACTTTGCCGGCGCGCCCCTTCCAGCGCCGCCGTCGAAGCAGGGATTCCAAGAGTAGCGGCATCGGGACGGAACGCCCGACCCGGCATAACGAAATGTTAGACGATGACGTTTCGTAAGAGCCGCCACCGCCTCCACCAGGTGTCGGCCGGCCTTTTGATGTGAATGTTATTATTTATTATTCTCTTGTTGTGACCCCATCTGAATCGAAATTATAAACGTTTACCAACGACTAAAGGTATTGTCGAAGGTGAGGTGATGATTGTTGAATGCAACATGAAGTTAGGTACATTCGAATTTCAACTGGTGATATTAAATCAAACCATCATTTCATTCATATCTGTGATGCAAACTTCGGAAGTTTGTTATAAAAATCGTGGAAATTTATATAACAAAATATAGAAGATTTCCTTTGTTTCCTTCATCTCTAGTGACAAAATCTTTGACTGAATCTACTCGATTTATCAAGCAATGGTTGAATATTGGTATTGAAAAGAAGAGTCGAAATTGCACTTTGATTTTTGTTGTCATATCTCGTTGAGTATTTTCACTATACACAAGGTCATACACTATATACAAGTTGATCCTTGAAAAGTATTACATACTTTTCAAGAATGAACTTTGTCATTTCTTCGAATAGGAAATTCTGTGTAATTACCTCGAGTAACATTTCCAGTAACAGTTGAAATCAGTCTAGTTGGATAAACTGAAAATTACATGAAAACAACAAACATGAATAAAATTTGTTGGAAATAAATATTTGTTTTCGGCTTGTTAAAAATAAGTTTTGGGCAGTTGATTAATTTATCTATGGTATTGTTATAAAATGGATCTATTACTAAGTAAATTAGTATGTTGGTACTAAATTGTATCTGGATGGGATCTTTCAGTTCAGAACTTTCTAAAATTTCAAAGATGTCATACATTTTGGTTATTAGTTATTCCTTGAGAAATTGAACAAACTCAGCTTTATTGTTGAAAGTATTATTCGGTTTCAGTTGAAAATAAAACTTTCTCATCGCCGCTTAGTGTTGGAGTCAATGCAAAACTGAAGAAAAACAGAAAAATGGGCTACATTACTATATGGCTGTGATGTTATGTTTCAGACGTGACGGTTTTTCTGTGGTAGACATTGTCACATACAATGCACAAATTGTCATATGAGACATTGCATAAGTATGTAAATAATCGAAGTTGAACTTCCATCATCCGAAACTCGAATCTTAATGAAATAAAAATTTGGGACTGAAATTTCAGGGTGGGTTACTTAATGTAGGTAAAAAAACATGAAAATGATGAAATAAAAAATGGAAATTAAGAAAAAGTTGAAGTTTGAAAAACGACAACAAATATTCAATGCGAAAGTCATATGCTGACATTTCTACAGTAAATAATATTCTTACTGGTTACATTTTTGAAGAAATTGCGGATTATTTTCGTCCTATGTCTGATGAAATGTAATGTCTGTAATGATGAAAAACATTTCCGTAGTTATTCTGGTGCCTTTATTTTTCAGTGTCTCATTTCAATTCCATTTTCACTATCTAAGTATCTTGCATTAATTCTGTATACGAGTATTTACAAAAAATATATTAAAAACAACACACCATCATCTCACCTTCCAGTTAACAGTATTGAAAAATATTTCTCTAAAGCTTTGTGCTTCCAAGTAAAAATAATGATTTCGTGAAATGCTTGAAAGATATGCAATACTCAATCGATAGGAATTTAAAGAAATTATTGATGAGTTTTCTGTAAAATTAATCTTTCCTTCATCGATTCATTAAAATATAGCATGAGTTGTATCAGTACAACCTGTACAAGAAATTAAATAACATTGGCTTTATAATAATTATATTAATTTGAAATGCTTTTTATCAGGCGATTTTTCATATTTTATCATAAAGCTATCATTATTTTTCCTTGCTATCTAAATGAGGATTTGCAGAGAACTGTGAATCATGTTGGTATTGAAAAAATTATATTGTGCTTTACCGTTAATCTAACCAGTTGTAAAATTTATGTGGGTGGGGTTGAACGCTCCAATGATCAGCTCGATCTTCTGATATATAAATCCAACATGACGATTTTTTTATGATTTTTTGTTACTTAAAAGAGTAAAGGTTTCTTTTTATTTGAAACGCCAAAAATATATATTTATCATTATTAGAAAATATAGTGAAACGTTTTGTTCCTTTTTTGTACATATTTTTAATTATAGATGGTCGCGTAGTCACGACCTCATAGGACTAGTTTGTATTCAATGCACAATCTGAATGCATGAAAGTAATTTTTTTAAGTTTGTTTTTTTTTTGATGGTTTTAACCTGAGTGGACTTGACTCAGAATAGGAAGGAATGGCGGAAAGATTCCTGGAAACCGATTTAGGTTCAAAACCTTACATTTGAAATCTCCAGATATCGAGAATTTTTTCCAAAATACGAAATTAAGCAACGAAATCTTGTGTGAAATTTTTGGCGGGGAAGTAAACACAGTTTAGAAAAAAGTTGGGCTGGCATTTTGGGATGTAATAAAGAAATTTAAGATAGAAGTGAATATGCTTCTCACTTGGACAACTCGATATATATTTGGTGATTTTGAGTGAAACAAAAATATTTCAGTTAACTTTTTCGTCATTTTTTCATGTTGCTAAGCAACATTCCAAAGAATATCACTGTCTTCCTGGAACATTTTTTTAGTAATCAGAAATACCTTTTTATCTGTTTTCTTCAAAAGAAAGTGAATTAAATTTGGATTTTAAATAAACTCAAGCAAATACAGAAAGACTACAGAATATTTTTCCATAATCGACAGCTCAGACTGCACAGTGTACAAGCATAATCGAATATTCAGCCATAAACAATTGATTATGGTTAATCTCCAGGATGAACGTCGATTATGGTTAAGTGTTAATTATAAAAAATGATCTGTGTCCGTCAATATTTTTATAGATTTCCCATTTTTTCAAAGTTCACAAAGTTGACGAATAAAGTGGGGAACATCAGTATTTTTTCCATTGACGATTTAGGGAAGTGAAGCCTGTGGTATTTATTAGCGATAATTACAAGAAATGACAAATTTAGTATTTATTTTTGAAACCAGTGAATTTCTTGATAATTACAAAAAACGAGAAAAAAGATTTAATCATTCAAGTCCACGCAGGAATGTACTCGTATGTAATATTTATCTGCATCTTGTACATAACTTGAAAATTTGGTATACGTATGATGAAGTTTGAGAATAATTATAATTGTTTTTCGTTATTTCGTAGATGACTAGTTATAAAGTTTTTTCACTGACCAGGACACACACATACACAGAAACAGTAGGTTTATTCGTTATATTTCATTGTTTAGAAACTGTCGAATATTTGTTTCCGCCACTTTATTTGTATTTTTCTTTTTTTTTAATAAACTAATTTTTTTTTAATCATGCCTGTCATTTTTTTTTTCAAGCATTAGTATAGTGAATGCAGTGCGAATAGAATTTTTTAGTGCACTAAAGGTAGTTTTCAAGTGTTGCTTGTTTAGTTTCATTTAGGTGTTAGAGGGAAAAGTTTCTAATTGTAATGTGATTAATGAGGATATATTAAGGGTAAGTATAGAAGTTGTCTTATCCTAATTTGATAACTTCTACAGCAGCATGCTTCTTGAATTTCATTCTTGGAGTACTCTTAAGGTCAAGACAACAAGGCAGAAAGGGGTGGTTGTTGACAATTATACTCTCTTGAAAATCAAGTTTTTTGAAATGATACGTCATATATTAAGTACATTTGTTCAGTTATTTGATAGGAATGTGATAAACTTCACAAGACAACATATTTATTACAAAAATATTTCACATATTCATACTTATGAGTAACCACTGACCTCTCACTTCTTCTACCTGAAGATTTTTGGTGATAGTATTTAACCCTTTCAAACGCTTTCTTTAGTTTCGGAAAGAAGAAATATTTTTATCTTGAAGTGAATTGAATCTATTTTCCTTATAGTGAATGAAGTCAATAGATATTTTTTAGAGATCATAAATAATGAAATTGTAAATAGAATCTTCTTGATTCCTACACATGTTCTCAATTTCCTAAACCAAATTGGATTGGGTAAAATGAGAAGAAATCAATAGAACGATTCAAAACCACACTTCTGACTACAATAAAAGTATTGGAAATTGGAATTATGTTGAAGGTATACCTCATACTTGTTCAGAGTATTTGTAAGCTTTATTATTATCAGATTCATTGAGACTGGAGTATATTTATTTCTAACCAATAATAGGTAACTTGAGGAAAACACTTCTTCCACATACCAGAACTGTAGCCCTCTTCTCAAGGAATTTTATCAACCAATTTAGGGCCATCAGGAGATTTGCCATACTATACTCTACTGGGAATATTATCATTATAGATATTGGAACAAAATAAATGAAAACAAAAAATGCTGCTTAGTTCCTTCAAACGATTGCAAAGCATTTGATAGAGTGAGTCATAACATTTTAGTAAAAAAGTTATTCTACTTTGTAATCGCGGAAAAAGTTTTAGAATACTTCCGGCATACCTCAAGGATCTAATTAGGCCAAACATTTTTTAATTTCTTTATACTCAGTATAAATTTTGAAACTGAAGGGACAGGTCAAACTTTATGAAGACGATACAACTTCATTATATTGACGTTGATATCTGAATATGTTCAAAATGATCTACTATAAGTAGCTTCAGTCACATACATTAACTTTCTGATTGTGAAAAGTTTTCACATATATACGAGGAATTGAGCAAATTTCGGATATGCGGTTGGTTACCTCGTTCACAAGCAGATGGGGCGATGAGAAACCTGTTGTTTGTTGTGCGCTTCAGCCTAGTTCGAGGAATGATACTCTGAAAGAATTCGATTTTCAGTTATCGGAAATCACTGACTTTATGTTGATTGCACTGACGAGTGGCCAAACAGCACGAAACCAGTTTGCAAGTGTGTTCCAATAATTGAAAATCTATTGCGGCAGTTGTTTCGCCGACAGCATATGCAGGAATAATTTCAGTGAAGAATCCTGCACCGACACCTGTCGGATATAATCCAACGCCCTTCGTGGTATTAGCTAGGGCAGTAGTTGTATTCTGATAGTGGTCAGTCCATTAACCTACAGTGTAGGGAGTTGAGACTGGCCGGAACGAATTGATTCGTCAGATGATTTGATTTATAGCCAGTCTTCAAGTATGCCCACTGACTATATGTGAGAAAATTATTTGCTATAAAAGAACTACGGGATTACTCTGTCACTATATTGATGAAATTTTAAATTGGTATTCTGTACAAAATTAGGATGTACATCCCACTAATTTGTTTCTAAACAATTTATTTTTCACTTATTTATTCCAGATTTGATTACATAATCTCCATAATGAATAATATACTCTTTCTCACACGTGGGAGCTCTTGTAAAAGCATTGACTTTTTCATATATTCTTATAATAAGCCAAGCGTTTACAAACTACCCGTTACACAGTTTTGTTTTTGAATAATTGAGGCATCTGACATGCGATCAAAACGGGATTTGTAAAATAGCATTTCAGTAAGTTTATTAATAGTATAATATGGGAAGGTTAGGACTTGTTAAGGAGATATTAAAACCAGAAATATAGAAATTTGGAGCAGGCACATTGACAAGTGGTTCACAAACATTTTGTAACATTACATGCAACAATCTAGTGGACATACTAGAGAAGTCTGACCACTTTCTAATTGTCCTTCCGAAGTGGTTTGTTTTGAACTCAATAACATAAAGAAACAGGAAAATTTTAAAAAGCTTATTTGGGAAATATATTCTTATTCGCACATGCTTTTCGTGAAATATCTTTCGAACTAATCCTGGTTAACCCCTTTGAGGGTATTTATCTTCAACCATTAGAAAAACAAATGATTTTTCAATTGAGTTAATTCATAAGATCACTGTACTTTGTTACAAATAACATGTTCAATTCCTTGGAATGGGTTAACCTTTGCCAAAAATCTGGAAGGGGTCAATTTTGTCAGGCATGATTGAAAATATGTAGTTTCTTAAGAAGAAAGTTAGGATAGACAAGTTACAAGAAAGAACGACGAGTACGGTTGCTTTTTGTTGATAGTTTATATTCTGGACCGTAGCAAAATTGATTGTTGATTAGATGGAAATTGATTTGATAGCAATCGTTCTCGTCTTGTTGGTAGCATTTTTGTAACATCAAGTTGGTTATATTTCATAGACGAAAACTGAGTTTGGTAAGTAGGTATAGGCAATTGCGAATATTTTTGATAAGGAAACAAAAAAGTAACTTATGATGGATCAACATTTATGCATATAGTGGTTGAATTTGGAAGAGTCAGTTTTCTCTATGTAAAAATGATAGAAAAAGTGAATTATTATTTGTGCTTCAATGTTATTTTGTGATGAATCCACCAATTTTTTAATTAGGTCTGAAATTTGCCTGAGTAGTTCCTTATGCAGGTATACTGTTTTAGAGAATCCTTCATAATTGGTTCGAAAAGTGTGTTAATGATGATTTGAGGATATGTATACTTGCTGGAAAATGCCACCTCCTTTGAATATTGTTCAGAACGTACTTGTACTATGGCCATCATTTTTTCAACAATTATATAGAAAATGTGGTAAAATTGAAAACATTTGATTATCATCTCTCTCTTATCAACAAATTTCAGATCACTTTTGTCAAATTTTCTTGCGATCAATATTCAAAAGATTTTTCAATAGTAGCATTTGTTGTAATTAACAATATTGCACTGTGTAAAAGGCCTAATATTATTGGAATATCGTTTCCTAGAAGACGTGAGTTTGATATTTCCTTGAAAAACTACAATATAATGTTCCATAGCCGAAACTATAGTAACTGCAATACGATATTTTCACTTGTATTTGAAAAAACACTGCCATTTTGTACCGAAATAAAAAGCGTTTACTATAGACACTGAATATTTTGATAATTTGAAATTTTTAAAATACACAAACTCAAATCTACTACGAACTTCCTTATTATTACACGAAAAAGGTATTCAAAGGAAAAGTGGACTTTATTTATATTGAAATTTTTGCCTAACATGCGTTCATTTGTCAAAAAACTACCACCAGCTTTATATAGATTGAAATATATTTCCTGTTAATAATACTGAAGTAAGACTGGGTGTAGCGATAGTAATAAAACTTTAATACTAGCTGTAAAACATAAGTCTACTTTATAATGAATACTGGATGGATGTAAAGTAAGATTACTAAATTGAGATATCTTTTTATCGGTTCGTTTGTTTCCGTGATTGTATTTACACAAATTGAACTACTATGCTGTTTCGAAACTATTCAAAGAATTTTAATAGTAATTAATTCTAATGTAGTTCTTGGGCTAAGCTGGGACTTGGACACAAATCTCAAAATGTTTGTTCTGGGCCTGATAAAAATTACGTAAATATTTCCAATAAACATCAGTTGAACCTAATTTTGGACACAAGTACATTTACTCAGAAAATCGATGATAAAATTGTTGAGAACAAATTAGTGTGAGCGGTTTAAGGAAAACAGTTTAAAAAGGGGAAAAAAATAGATGTTCAGACAGTGAGAATCTTACAAACTGATGAAATAATTTTATCAGATCTCTAATAATGGAATGAGAAATAACTTCATGAGAAATATTTACACATATTATTTGATAGGCCTAGAATAATTTACAAATAAAAAAGAATTTTCAAACGAAAGCTGTCCAAAACTCAAAAACTAGTTCAGTATTACTTCGTTTTTAGCAAATCTTTTATAATGTGTATTGGATGGCTATTGCATGTAGACTTTTGATGTTTTTGTTCGATCTCATCATGATACAAGAGCAATGGTCTTTTTGTGGTCTGGTCTGACTAAATTCATTGCACTGTTAACTTATGGTTAGGTATGTGCTTTGATCATATTTATGTTGTGTTGCTTGTACCATTCTGAATATTTCAATAAAAATCATTAAACTGATGCTTTGTTTTATTGACACTCGTAAGAGTACAAGATGAAAATATTTTTGAAAAGTCCACGCATTATGTTACATGGTTTGATATCCCTCTATGTGAAAAATAGTAGGATCACTCCTTAAAAATATTTCAATTGATACAGTTACATCAAGCCAAAGCTAAAAAGCCCAAGATACTGGATGAGATCATAGTTGAGAAGATGAATAGATTATGGAATCGATAAAATTATGGCAGATTTTATAAATGGAAAACTGAGATCATCAAAACTTATACCCACCACAGATAACACTTCAAATAAAGTAATAATGTCACATGAAGTCACACATTTAAACAAATTAGTGAACTGAATAGTTGCTTGTTGTTGTTGCCGACCGTTTCTACTCTCTTTCTACTTTCTACGAACTCTGTTTACAAAAACACAGACAAAACACCGAAACCTTTTGAGCGTTACGCCTGCCAACGGAACATTTCTTTGTTGACAAAAACAGTCGTCCGCGACACAAAGTGTTCAAAATGTTTTCAATTTTGACAACTCAAGTTTTTGTTTTGTCGAAATCATCACAGTTGTCCATTATGAAAACATCGTCTAGAGAATTTCATTAGTTCGGACTTCCATTGTCTAATATAATATAAATTGATTTGAAATTTCTGAAAAAATATTAGAAAAGATTAACCGAAAATAACAATTTTATTTCAACAAAAAAACTGAAATTACAAAGAAATAACATAAAACCAAACAACAACCAAAAAATAAAAATTGAAATATTCATAAAACCTGAAAATTAAAAATTATTATTAGCAAAAAATGAAAAATAAAAAGATTCCAACCAAGTTATGTCACAACGTTTCGATTGTTAGTATCCACAATCGTCTTCGGGTGATAACTGGACTTATTCCACCGAGATCCGACTATTTATATGCCATTCGAGTGCTTGCACATATTACTCTCTCTCCGGTTCATTGGTTTTTAGCGAGAGATGACCGTTTGGCGCGAGTTGGTCGTTTTTCGTTTGATTAGAGGTTTCCATATGTTACGTATCTCTACGCTAGCTTGACTAAATGCGTTGTTGGACAACATATACGCGGCTTCTTTGAATTGTCTCCTAAACCAGTGTTCCTCTTTGTGGATGATTTCAGCTTGAGCCCACTTGATATTATGTTGATGAGCCCAAACATGCTTTGCTATTCCGGATGCTGTGTGTGTTTTTTGTGCTCAGCAATGCGAACTTTTAATGGCCTCTTAGTTTCACCGATTTATGATTCTCCGCACTCGCAGGGTATCCGGTAAATGCAATTCTTGGAATCGCAGTCCGCGTTTGGTGGCATGGTTTTCGTGAGGCTGCTACGGATAGTGTTCCCAGATCTGAGGCAGGTCCTGATGTTATACTTGGACCCAATCCTTCGTATCCTTTCCGATAATCCTCTGATGTAGGGAAGTACAAGTACTGGTTGTGGAGGCTTCTCTTTCTTGTGGAGCTCTTGCTGTCTTCTAGCTGAAGCCTGTTCTACCATCACTCTGGAGTAACCATTCCGTTGAAGGTCGTTTTTAATGATGCCTAGTTCCCTTTCGAGACCTTCCTTTGTATTACAGAGCCCGAAGGCACGGTCTAGTAGAGTCTTGATGATTCCTCTCTTAGTCGATTGATATATATTTTATATATATATATATATTTGACCTCAATTGCACTTTGTATTTTGTTCAAACATTGTTGATTGTTTACTAGGAGGCCCTAAAAATATTTTAGTGAAATTTCACCATTAAGAAACGCAATATTTTTTCTACAGACAATCAATTAGGAGAGGTTAATATATGTTATGTTTTTAATGTGTGTTTTCCGTTAACCAGCTATCACACCCCTACAACAACCCTCAAAAGTCGAAGCTTGTCCGCGCTAAGGACTAACGAGGTCTTACCTTTTAACGTGTGATTCCTAACACGGACGATAGCAAGTGAAACCCGATCGTTCAGCCTGGGGCTTGAACCATCGACTCACACATCGGCCGATTGACTGAGTGAACAAAGCTCCCACGTCAAATTATATCTTAAAATAATTCTCATTTTACCGTTTCGATATTTTTTATAATATTGCGAGCTCATTCAGATTGAAAGATATTGTGGCACAACATGTAACTGGATTATGGTATAACAATATCTTAGAATTAAAACTCAAGTTTCTAGAGAGACTGCTGAAGTATTTTTATAAACTAGATGAACTTTTAGAATTTTAATATTTTCATGGGTCTTTACCTTTACTCTCTATCAAGTTGAAATATGAAACAACTTAAATTGGAGCAAATGGTACAAGAAAATCTATTTTTTTTGTTGATAACGAGCAAAAAGCCACAATGAACCACTTCAGAAGCACAGTTCAATATAGGCTAAATAGGAAAGTAATAATGAACTGAAAATAAGAAGACCCTTATGTACTTATATAAATATATTGAAATCTATCAAATATAACATGAGAAACTAAACAAACCTAGAAGCAATAGCTAAAACTTTTGTGTAATCTGCTCCTTTGGCGTGAGTCTTCTCTTTTAAAATCGTTCTAAGTATTGTAGGTATCGGAACATGTATTCTTGTACCAAGGGGCGTTCCATTATCATCAATGAGAACAATGTTATTGCTGTCAAATTTGGGAACTTTGGCATTTTGATTCTGCTTTAATCCAACAAGAATCCCCTTCTTCTTTTCACCTTTTATTGCTACCAGAACCTTGTCACCTATGAAATAGAAAACTTTCTTCATACAAGACCATTGCATCAAATCATTTCTTTATTTATTCAACTGAATAATAAAGCTGTAAATAATTCAAAAGTAGTCGATATATAACACATAGATGTTGAAGGTGAAAATGAAATAAATACCTGCATAAAGACAGTTCAAGAGATATGTACAAGAATACAATGTACTTATGATGCACTGTTTGGAACCTTTGGTATAGTAATGAATATTACTGGAGTTTTTCCCAACACCAAATCGTTATTTTTAACACCTCGACACGTGTTTGAAGATGGATCACTTTGAAGATGATCACTTGGTGATCGAAACACGTGTCGAGGTGTTAAAAATAACGATTTGGTGTTGGGAAAAGACTCCAGTAATATTCAAGAATACAATGATTTACATGTGAAAGTCAAATATACATATATTAAGGCATTTTGAATGCCTTATTCAAGATTATTTCCAACATAAATTACTTGATTGCAAGGCACCTATATTTTTAAAGGCATACATTCGTTATCGGTAATTTTTTGAGGGAATATCATATTACTATTTTTCTGTGGCATTGTAAATGTAATTATGAGCTTTATGGATATACTTAAGCAACTGCAAAACAAAAAATAATTTATTTGAATATCTTAAGGCAGGAATGATCATGAGGCAGGAGTCTAGTGAAGTATCTAAGGGCTGATTCTATTCTTAAGTTGTAATAAGGCAAAAGCAGTTAGATCCTTAATTTTTCGTTGCAAGGTCTACCAGCCAAATTTTGTTCTCTTTAATCGTGATTCAGGCCGTGAAAGCCCATGTTCTTATCAAGGATGTATTTGTTTTGTTTGAGAAGAAGTGACATATCAGAAAACAAAATGGGATATGAGACACTTGATGAAAATCTGTATTCAAGTAACACTTTCTTGTGAGATTTTCAACACTTGTTTCACTATACCAAAGCTTACTCAGGCATGTTCATATCCATGGAGAACTTTATACAGCTGCAGAAAGGCCAATCTTCTAGTTCACCTTGATAAATTGAGTACTGTGACGACTAAAAGTTTATTTTATCAAGATTGAGGTGAGAATTCCCAGAAAAAAACTCTGATTTCGCCCCAAAAAAATACTTTTGTTCAATTATATTTATTCACTTTCAATAGGTTTGTTTTTCATTTATTTATAATGAAAAATATAATGCTATTCTGAGTTTTTTCATTCCTACTGAGTTCATGTAAAATCTGTCATGCCTTCACTCTCATTTGCCAGTTTTTTATTTCATTGAAGTAAAATTGACTTTTTGTAGGTACTTTGTATAATTTTTTTAAAGCAATTATATATTCAGATTCAAGTATTGAAAATTATGTTGAACTAATACAGTATTCCTTTGGTGAAACTAATGCAAAATAATTTCAAACAACTTCTCAAAGAATTGAACTTCCATTGAAAATGAGATCGAAAATGGATGAACTAAGTATATATTTTTAGATTGCGCTCAAATCAGTCAAGATGAGAAATTTGACAGAACATCTCTGGGAGAAATAAAAAACGTTACCAAACTAGTAAAATACTTTTACATGGACTATATAAGTATTTTGAACAATGCCTCATGTGCTATTTTCATTCATTTAGTTGCTTGGAATGAACCAAGAAATAAAGGAAGTTTCGCAGAAATTTTTGTTTCCTTTATATTCCTAATGGTTCAAGTATACATTAGTCAAAAAAGCAGTTCAGAATAAGGAACACGGATAATGATAAAACTACTCCATTTTCAAAGCAAATTCAAGTAGAAGAGGAGCTTGTAATACTATACGACAAAAACATATTTCTGACAGAAGCTACTATTCGTTTAACCATCTTCAGGGCATAGCAATTTGGACTTCCTTCATATATAAGATTTCCGTTGGTTGGTATGACAACTACCAATGAACTTAAAGTGTCATGCCAACTAAACCATTTGTCTCTTCAAAAAGAATTAAGCAGTGTCATTACCGTACCAATTTTTCCTATTCCAGTTTTATTATAAACTTGTATGCATCTGGGAGGTTTTCCTTCTGCCATTGCTTGCTTGCCAATAGGGCTGTTATCAACCACCCTGAGTCTGGTCATTTTTTGGATCTCCAACCGTTGACTTGAGAGGTGGAAATTACGTACGACATGAACTGATCTTATGAAGTAACTATTAGAAAACATTTTTGATTTGAAAAGACTGGTTCCTTGAATATTAAGTAAAAGAGAAAAAGTAAGGTTAGAATTGTTAGGTTAGGTTTTCTGTGACATCTGTCGTTAACCCCATCTAGCATGTATAAAAATAACGAAGACTGAATGTGTAGAAAACGCATTGACGTCTCCAGAAGCAGATACCAAGTTTGAAATTTCAACAGTAGATGGATATTTTTAGTTTTCATTTTTCTTTGGATCATAATCAGATACGAAACATACCGTATTCAAGAATCATTCATAATTTACCACAATTCTTGATCATTTCGTCGATGTTCAAATACTTTCATCTTATTTCTTTACAAATAACGTTCATTAACAAAAATTGTGGTGTTTCACCTATTGTTGCATGCTTGAACAAACTGAAGGAAGATGAAAGTTCTGGTTCACAGATGTCGCGAGTGTGCATTGAATTTTGTTTGTAGTCAGCAGTAGCTAAACAATTTCGATCACCTTTTTTCACAAATGATTACCTATCCAAAAGCAGTTGCATAGGATGTGACTTTCATTTGGAAGCAAAAATATGTCTGAAACAACTGGTTTCAATTGACATTTTTTTTCATTCAGTTTTCACTCCACACATTCTCACTACACAACGTAAAATATATGAGTGTTGATGTAAAATTTGAATTACAAGAAAATATTTCAATCTGTAGGCGAACTTTTAGTTTGCGGTGAAACCAAAAGTCTTCAACTCTCCAACATCACTTTTTTGAACATCTTTGGAAGATGATTCACTTAATCCTTGCTGAAACTTTATGACCATGAAAGACAATCTGCTTTGTCACAATGACAGTATGTAAAGAAATATTCATACAACAAACTGATGATCCCAGATATTCGGAATAATTAAATACATCTATGAAATTCTACAAAGATCTGTAGATCATGCACAGACATTTATTTGAATACAAGATCTGTAGGTACTTACCGGCTACTCTTGACTTTAAACTTAATCAGGACTAACAGTTTCGTTTTGAGCAGGGTTGTTGTCTAGCATAAGTTAGTCGTATCATAGGCTAGGTCAGTAATATACATCAAAATATACACCTTTGGGAATGACCTACATTCACATTCAGTGTGAAATAAAATAGCTTGACAAACTGTTTGCATTTTTCAAAGCAGGATATGCATTATAACTAACCATTATCTCCAGTTCTATGGCAAAATGCGTTTATAGTTGATTTTATTTGATTTACACAGTCAAAGGTTTTTAAAAATCACAGAAAACAGACTTTGTTGCTTTTTCTGAATTTATCTTACTGTTGGTTTGCAACAGAAACGAAACTCTAGCATCTAATTTTTCCATCAATTTTGCTAGAGTCGAAATTAGCCTCACTATCACTTCTTTAATGGAATGGTAGACCTGAACCATCTTTTTCAGAATAAGAATAGACACAATAATGAATCATCTATGATCATCAACAAATACCTGCAAATCTCTGAAAATACACTTTTTGCATTTCAATTCTCGATTTGCATTCTTGAGATCAAATAGAAAATGGCAATACATAATGTAGGAATCGCGGGAAAATTTTAAAATTTCCTTGTACACTGTTGATCACTTTACAAATTCACTATCTATTTTTAAGGATATGTAGATGTAGAAAATAGAAAAAAATCGAAGAGATAGACTAATTATATTCGCTTTTTTAATCGACAGTTGACGAATAATTAAAGTTCAATAATTTTCAAAATGGAAGGGGTATGCGTGTCATTACGTATTGTTATCGATGACATGAGTAGATTTAACTTGTTTATGACAAGAAGTTGTAATTTTATGAATGAATTGAGTGTTCAATCTTGTAATATTATCCAGATAGCTGCTGATGGGATAATCAGACAAGTGTCTTATTCCGAAACTTCGAAGTCCGCCATCGAGGATGATAGGGTTCTATGTAAGTGACATTTCATAATTCTTTCATAATTAATATGAATGATTTGATTCTTATATCGTCAGGTAAAGGCCAAGACTCGCCGAAGAGACACTCTCTTTGGCATTCCATAACGAATGTTCGGGGTGAAAACTGAGAAGGAAAATTGATTTCCGAATAATTCAATGTTCATATGAAAGTAGTCAAATAATTTTTTCTATGCATGATGTAGACAGAGTTTATTTCAAACCTTTTTTCCTTTCATTGGAAGTTTCCGATACTTTTTTGTATAAAGATGGAGAAAAAAAAGCCAAAAACTTTTTTCCCGAAAGCCAATCTCTCTCAAAAATATACCCCTTTCAGTTTGAAGTATTAGTCAAATACGGTTTTGAACTTTTCGTTATATGAAATTGAATTCAGCTGACCAAACCCCCACCTGTCTCAAGAAACAACATATTAACATCCCCTTGGTTTTCTTTAGGACATCCACCCTACAATTTGTATTCCCAAGAAAAAGCGTATACAATATTTTCATACACAATCATTGTGTGTTTGAAATATGAATGACACACGAATGTGATGTTGAAGTTGTCAGGGCGTCCACATCTGCTGATTCCTTATTCTTGTTGATGATGGTACCTGAGACAAGTGTGGCTAATTTAACTGGGAATTCGTTCGATATGAATGGCCCGCATCACGGTTTTGACACTTTTGTGCTATGGAATTTCTTAATGCATCTATTACTGTTCCTATGTGTGGATTTCAAAGGTGTATTTGTATTGCTGATCATCGATAACGATTCTCTTGTTATTGTCATACATTTTGGGTTGTCCATTAATTTAGTTCGAAGGCGACTAGTACCTAGTGTTTTGAGATTATTTTAAAGAAAATGGTAAACATTTTTTTTTTTCAGTTTTTTGAAAAATGTTAATAAACTTTCTGTTTGCGTTACGAGTTATCATAAATTTTACTAACTCTTTAATTTGTAGCAATAAAAAACACAATGAATACCTAAGAAAAACACATGTTTGAGTCGTTGAGCCGTGTTTGATAAATAAATAAAACATTTCATATGATACTATGGCATTGAAGATGACTGCCACACGAAACGTTTGGTATAACAAGTTTCATATGACCACATAATACCAGAACTATTTTTATCCATGATAAATGATAAATACACAATCAGTTGGACTGGTACATTAGTTTATTTATGTATTTATTTATTTATTCAAAATTTGGGATACAAACAGAAATACCCATAAGGAGCATCCACTGATAGTAGTGGTTACAGAGATATACGGTGTCAACAGATACAAGAAAAAATAAAAATTAATGAATTAATAAATTTCGTACACACTAACCAATTATTTTTGCTATGTGTTGAATATTCTTTTCATCCTTATTTTAAAGGAATTCAATGTAATAGAGAAAACATTTACGTTACAATATTTGTTGAAAGAATCGCACATTCTAGTAATTGGGGAGGTTTTGCCCAAATTGGTGTAGAAATTGAGTCTGGCAAGTAGTTTTCTGTTTCTAGTGTTCCCATAAGGAACTTGATAAAAAATCATTGATACTAGATTGGGTGAGTCATAACAGTTTGTTATAATTTTATAGATAAAAACTAAGTCGGTTATTATTCTTCGTTGTTCTAGAAGCTGTATTTTATAGTGAGATCGAATTTCACTAATGCCAAGTGTTACATGAGTCTTCGTTATTTTGAAATGCAAGAACCTTACAAATCTATCCTGGAGTCTTTCTAATCGTAATTTATGTGTATTATAATGTGGGCTCCATATGACACTTCCGAACTTAAGTTTACTATAAACAAATGCATAGTAAATAGATTTTATTGTAGCCTCTTTGTTGAAGTCTTTGCATATTCTGCAGGAAAATCACAAGTTTTTGCTGCAGGAATTTATTACATAATCCAAATGGGGATTGAAAGTCATTTTTGTATCAAAATAGATTCCAAGATCTTTAATTTGGTCTACTCTGTTACAAATTATGTAAATATACATGCATATTTATTAATATTAAGTTTTAATTTATTGAGGGAATAGTATTCTAAAAAAGCATTGACGTCTTTCTGAATCTTCCTGAGTAATCTCTAATCGTCGTTACTTTTGTGTAGATTTTTAAGTGATCAGCATATACTTGTGAATGCTTGAAGCAATATTTCAAATCTTTACTAGGAACATTAATGGACCCAGATGTGAACCTTGAGGTATTCCCGAGGTTTCCACAACTAGAGCAGATCTGTATCCATTAATGCTCACTAGCTGAGCTGCGATTGTGAAGGTAGGCTGGAAGCCATCTAAGGAGATCTCCCTGTATACCGATTCCAGCAAGTTTTGAAATAAGAAGGTTATGGTCGACTTTATCAAATGCCTTACTGAAGTCAGTATACAGTGAGTCCACCTGTGCTCGATTGTCTAATGCAGTTGAAATGTAGTCGGCATATATTAAGTTTGTTTCTATGGCCTTCTTGGAGAAAAAACCATGCTGGCATTCTAAGATAGATGACTTGATATGGTAAAACATAGAGTCATAAATAATGATTTCGAACAATTTGCTGAAATTGGACAGTTTACTGATACCTCGATAATTTATTACTGAGTTTCTATTACCAGAGTTTTTATAAATCGGGACTAGGAGAGCAGTTTTCTAAACCTCTGGGAAAGCACCAGACTGCATGGATTTGTTAAATAAGATGCTCAAGGCATAGCATAGACCAGAGGCACAATTTTTAACGAAGTATGTAGGGTAACCATCGATCTCAGCACCCTTATTCACATCGAGTAACTTCATTTTCTCTGATATGATTTCTGGAGTGAACTCTGTTGAATTCTACCATTCTACAATGTGTTTTATATAACAGCAGTAGGTATAAAACTTAACTAGATAATTCTGTCAAAACAGGTACCTAGATTTTGAAAAAACCATAACAATGCAATATAACTTCTAGGAAAACAAGTAATTTGACACTATGTCAATCATTGTCATTTTATGAAAACAAGTTTAACAATGGTGAGTGAATGTGCTCATTTACAAGGAAACTTGAATGTCTGATTTATTGATTTCCAGAGATTCCAGGACGTTAAATTTTTTGTACTTTATTCTTTATTTTTGTCCATATTGAAATCGTGATTGTTC